TTCTGCATATTGTGAAGAGGGTCAGGTGTTAGCCTGGGCATTAAAAGAAGAAAAATAAAATTCCAACTTTCAGAAGCCAAGTATATACCTAAAGTATTTTGCTTTAGTCCTTCATGGCTGGCTTCTGATTACTTCTAGCTCAGATGATAGAAAGCAATTTTCAGCTAAGTGCTTAACTCCAGTAGTCTGCTTTCACATCTGGACCTCCAGGGCCCTACTTATATATCCCATCATGTAAAGTGTCTCCACAATTCTCTGCCTTTCTTAGAAGAACACATCCTTGGAGGTTTTACATGGCTTTCCATTTCAATCACTCCATTAAGCCCAAAGCTCTGAACTTTCCTTGCTTTTTCTACTTTATGAACTACTACATTTCTTATGATGAAAGCAGAAAAGAAAAAAATGGAAGTTTCTTGTAATTTAATTTCTATCACACTAGATGTGTTTATCTGTTTAATCAAAAACAACAGAGAATTCTAAAGTATGCATTGCTGATCAGTTTACAAACACAAAATGGAATTAAAATAGAGTTGGGCAAAATGACTATGACAAATTCTACACATCACATGTAGGTAGAAACTAAAAATCTATGGATGGTTCTGCATAGATGAACCATATCTTGGTGGAATAAAGATGAGGGTAAAAGAAGGAATTAGCCATGGCTAGTGTATCTTTAAATATATTTGTTATTTTGGAACCTAGAGCATCCTCATGAGACAACGTTGTGGCTCACGTAAAGAGCCACACAGGGACATGATGGTCAATGGTCACTTTTGATTCCCTACAATGAGTGTAAATTTTTCAGAGAAATTATGAAAAAAAAAATCAGAGCATTAATATGTAGTTTTGATGGAGAAATCTGAGGATCTCAGTGAAAAGCTTGGACCAAACTTAGAAACAAGGAAAGACACATAAAAGAATTTTAGTAGAAGGATGTGGCCAAAGGTGAGAAAAAAACAATGTCAGTAACATTTAAAATGGAATCTTTATATCAATATGACTTAATAAATTTTTAAAATATGTTTAATTAAACTGTTTCACAATTAAATTTTAAACTAGGGGAGAAAGTTTGTGTTTTTCCTGTAACTGGGTTTTAAGACATGTATCTTCTTATCAGTAGAAAGTAAAAGAACTACAGATAAACATTTAAAAGAATAAATTCATCATCGCCAGAAAAATAAGACAAAAAGAATTGTAACAGAAAACTAAAGATATTTTTATGTCTCTATAAAAAATGAAATGGATATAATCTGAATTTGAAAAGTAAAAGGTAGTAGGGTAGATCTATAAAGGAAGAAAGGTAATCAATGCAGACAAGTAAATGTTTTGGGGTCAATGGAAGGATCTCCTAGATACAGCACATATTTAGAGAAATGAATTCCCATTACTAGAGTTTATATGTATACTTAGTTTTACAATGACATAAAGTAGTGCCTTTAAAAAAAACAAAAACAAAATAAAAAACCTAATGCTAAAGTTCTAATACTCACAATTAGCAGCAGGCAGAAGGAACTGACTCATTCTGACAAGATAGGAGCAACTTATATAACATCAAATATAAACCTGATAAAATGACAGGCTTAAGTTGTAGAAAAATTTATTTAAAACACTAACTACATTCATTTTGATGTTGCATATTGTGGTCAAGATTTCAGGTAAGTGTGTAAGTTGAAAAACCTCCTGTTTCTCAGATTACACTCATTAAAATGCATCAACAGGTAAATAGGAAATAGCCTACAATTTTTAGATTGCTCATAATGACAGCTGCTTCACTGATTCAGAAAACAGCCTTCAGTTCTAACAATTGCTTAGTTACTTCTTGATGATGATCTCTCTAGAGAGCATTTACTTCCAAATGACTAAATTCAGAACTCAAAGATTCATGTGGCTATAAACCATTAACATAACCCAATATATGGTATAGAGCCTTCTCATTTATGCACCTCCCCAAAGGAACACCTCAGTCTTAAAATGAACATACCTTACTATGAAAAGAGCATACACTTTAAAGACTAAATTTATAAAGCCCACCATTTACTTTATCACACCTTTGGGAAAACTTGAGAAACTGGTATTTAAAAAATAATAAATAGGTTGACCTTAGAATAGCTTCTTTTAAAATAAGTGCTATTCTACTCCATTCTTACTCCAATATTTAGTTCAAAACTCTGCAGACCTTTTCAGTGTTGGGAAATCCCAGAGAGTTCGTATATTTGCCTACATAAGTTATAAACCTTATTTTGAAATCAGGAAGTATGAAGCCTCCAACTTTGTTCTTCCTCATTTCAAAATATATTACAAAGCTACAGTAATTAAAACAGTATGGTATTTGCACAAAAATAGACATGTAGACCAATGGGACAGAATAGAGAACCCTGAAGTATACCCAAGCATACATTATCAACTGATCTTCCACAAGGGTGCCAAAAATACACAATGAGGAAAGGACAGTCTCTTCAACAAAAGATACTGGAAAAACTGGGCATCCACATGAAAAGAATGAAATTCAACCCATATTGTACAACATACATAAAAATCAATTCAAAATGGATTAAAGATTAAACACAAGACCTGAAACTGTGAAACTTATAGAAGAAAACATGGGAGGAAAACTTCATAACATTGATCTCGGCAACGATGTTTTGGCTATGACAACAAAAGCACTGGCAACAAAAGTAAATACGGACAGGTGGGACTACATCAAACCAAAAAGCTTCTGCACAGCAAAGGAAATAATCAACAGAGTTAAAAGAATGGGAGAAAATATTTGTGGACCATATATCTAATAAGGGATTTATATGCAAAACATATAAGGAACTCCAGAAACTCAATAGCAAAAAACCCCAAAAAACCCTGACTGAAAAATGTGCAAAAGACTTGAAATATTTCTGCGAAGAAGACATACAAATAGCCAAAAGGTATATGAAAGATGCTCAACATCATTAATCATCAGGGAAATGCAAATCAAAACCACAATGAGTGGGCTTCGCTGGTGGCGCAGTGGTTGAGAGTCCACCTGCCGATGCAGGGGACACGGGTTCGTGTCCCGGTCCGGGAAGATCCCACATGCTGCGGAGCGGCTGGGCCCGTGAGCTATGGCTGCTGAGCCTGCGCGTCTGGAGCCTGTGCTCCACAGCGGGAGAGGCCACAACAGTGAGAGGCCCGCGTACCACAAAAACAAAACAAACGAACAAAAAAACCACAATGAGATATCACCTCATACTTGACAGGATGGCTCTTATCAAAAAACTAAACATAGCAAGTGTTGGCAAAGATGTGGAGAAAAGGAAACCCTTGTACATTGTTGGTGGAAATATAAAATGATGAAGCTGCTATAAAAAACAGTATAGACGGGCCTCAAAAATTAAAAACAGACCTATCATATCATCCTGAAATCCTACTTCTGTGTATATATACAAAAGAGTCAAAATCAAGATCTCAAGTAGATATCTGCACACCCATATTCATTTCAGCATTATTCACAATAGCCACGATCTGGAAATGAGCTAAATGTCCTTCAGTGGATGAATGGATTAAGTGGTATATATACACAATGGAAAATTATTCAGCCTTAAAAGAAGGAGATCCTGCCATTTGCAACAACATGGATGAACCTGGAAGACATTATGCTAAATGAAATAAGCCAGTCACAGAAGGACAGATACATCATGATTCTACTTAGATGAGGTATCTAAAACAGTTAAACTCATAGAAACAGAGAGTAGAATGGTCTTCTCCAGGGGGCTAGGGGGAAGAGGAAATGGGGAGTTGTTGTTCAACAGGTATAAAGTTTCAGTTATGCAACATGAAGAAATTCTAGATATCTGCTGTATGATATTGTGCCTATAGTTAACAATTGTGTATTGTGCATTTAAAATTTTGTTAAGAGGGTAGATCTCATGTTAGGTGTTCTTCTTGCAATAAAAAAATAAAAAGTGAAATTGTGAAGATTAAAATACAGCAAAGTTCACCATGAAGTAATAGAGTTTAGGAACAAAGCTCAAAAAAGGGTATTCTACTTACTTTTTCTCTTATATTTTTGTTAAACACTATAAATTTTATAGAAAGAAATTCTGTTAAGAAATAATTAATGGTAAAAGCTCTAATTGTAACTAATTACTAAAATCAAGGTAGTTTTTCACCAATATTTTCTTCCTTATAAGTCTTTCTTCAGTACTGGCAGATACAAGGGAAAAAACAAGCAATGATATTAAAATTCTATTCTTAGAATACTCACTATTATAAATGGACAGGATAATTTCCTTTCTGTTACCATTGGTTATCTAAGATCTCCAACTCAAACATGGAATTGGGATTTAATAACAGTCTGACATTGCTTAGTCCCACTTTCTTATAGTTATTTCTTGTTGACCTCAAATAACAAAAAGCAAGAGTATTGAATCTGCAGGCTTGCCCTCTAAGTGAATGTGTGGAATAAAGCAACTTTTTTCAAGGGACCAAATACATTCTTCATTTTCATGACAAGGTTTTTTGGAAATAAATCAGCATTATAAGACAAGGCAAAAAAGCAAAATAAAACTAAGATGAATGCTTTGCTGCGACAGCACTGACCTTAGATCTGGACAAGTAGCGCTCCTCCTGTGCCTCGCACTTCAGAATACCCCCATATGGCAAAGGCGAGACACCAAAAGACATTTTTATTCATCTCATAAGTGGATTTTTGTTTTGTATTGTTTGCTTTTCCAGGGTTGGTTTGTTTGGTTAAGTAACTGGCTAATAGATTGAGAGGGTTACTAGAGCTGAAGTGAGCCCCCAGGCCACAGACTGCAAGGGCGAGCGCCTGAATGCAGGGGTAGGGTGTGTGGGGAGAAAATAACAAGTTCTGCCCTGGAAAACTGGGGAATTTATATAAAGTTAGTCCACAAAATCATCAAATTACGGGTCTCAGACTGGGTTCTGCCAACAACCAGACAATTGTGGCCCCCCAGTCCCCAGTTTTCTCCTTTGATGGTCTAGTTTGGGGAGGACAACCTGGAAATCCTGAGCTAGAAAAGAGAAGTGAGTGGATGGTAAATACACTGACCTTGGCTTCTTGAGAAGTTTGCTCTGTCTTGCAGCCAAAATTCAGGTGGGTTGCGATCTGAGTCGCAGCCCAGCTTTGCTTTGTCCCGTCCCAGCAGATCCAATTCATTCAGACAGGGCAGGAAAGAGCACCTTTGGGTTCCTGGTTATAAGGACCATCACTCGGGAGTAGGCTGGGACTCCTGGGTAGGAACAAGAACAGGGGCATTTATATGAATTGATGTACAACATTGAAATATTTAGGAGTCTGATGCAGTGGTCACAGACTCCTCTGTACTTTCACTGTGTACAAGGACGAGCATATTCTGCATTCTGCAGGCAGATTCAGGCAGATGCTGCAGTTCGTCTCTGTCCAACTGTTGTACTTTTCCTACATTCTGATTTCCCATAGTCTTTTTTCCCCCAAAATTAATGAATAGTTTTCTATTTTTTATTCTAATAACTTTTCCTAATAAATTTTCCCCACCGAAAAAAGAAGCAAATTATATAGATATTTTATATATATATATATATATATATATATATATATATATATATTTTTTTTTTCCACTGTGCCCTTGGCAGTGTCCTGTTCCATGCAAAAGGTACTAGTCTTCTGGAAATGCCTTTGAATTGTTGGAGATGCTGAGGAAGTCTCAAAGGGACATGCCTAAGCTGCTTAGACTCCACTCCTCTGTGGAAATTAAACACATATCAGAAAGTCGCAGGCTATTTGTGTGTGGAAGGGTAAGAGCTGGCAGCCTCAATGCCTGTGGTCTCTGACTGGGCACTTCAACCACAGCCTCTCCCTCCATTGCGTAGGAAATCTCAGAGCAACTTATAGTTACTTCAACTTAGATGCTGCTGACTCAGACTTTGTACCTTGGCTGATAGTATGGTACTATTTTATCCTTTTTTCCTTATCACATCCTTTTAGATATTTATTGTATTTCTACTTATTTCATTTTCAGTAAAAATGCAGGCAGGAAGCAACATTAAAAGCACTGTAAATTATGGGGACGTGCAGCGAACTGGGAGCTCAGCAGAGAGATTAAACTTGAATTTTCTAAGAGAGAATTCTTGTCAAAATCCTGACTGACAGAAGAAATAGTTAACGTTTGCTTAATGGGAGTAAACATGTACCTATGTGACATTCTTCCATCAAATTAGAATAAGAACATGGCCTGCTTAGAGCTCATCAGCTTAATTTCTACAGAAACTCTTCAAGTGGGTGTTTTTGTTTGTTAGCTTGTTTTTAATTGAAGTTTCAATGTAATACAATATTATATTAGTTTCAGGAGTACAACATAGTGATTCAAAATTTTTATAGATTATGCACCAAAGTTATTATAACATTACTGACTATATTCCTTGCACTGTACATTACATCCTGTGACTTCTTATATAACTGGTAGTTTGTACCTCTTAATCTCCTTTAACCATTTTGTCCATCCCCACCCCCACCCCCTTCCTCTCTGGCAACCACTAGTTTGTTCTCTGTATCTGTAAGTCTGTTTCTTTTTGCTATATTTTTTAATGCTAAGCTCCAAATAGGAAGCAGTCAGATGAATTAAAAAGTCCGTATTTTCTGTAAAAATTTGTTTGAAGGATCAAGAAACATATTCTTGCATGAAGAAATGGATGAGAATTTCCATATTCTTTTAACTTCTAGGAAGCACAGAAAAATATTTAAACTTAAACATTTAAAATTATATTAGTTTTGGTGGTAAGTGCATTTATTTTTATTTTTATGTGATTAGCATATTTATCAATTTTAAATTGTTTTATATTATCTAAATGGCTTTACTGATGAAACATATCAAATCACATTTAAAGGCATATGGGCTATAAATATTTAACTTATTTTAAATTGTTTTGAATAATAAATAATTTGTTAAAACTATAAGCTTCATATTTATTTTCCATTTATTTATTTCTTTTGTTACTCATAATAAACCTGTCAGGTAGACATTTTCATAGATGAAGAAAGTCAAATTCAGAGAGTTTAAATGACTTGTCCTAGATTATTTAGTAATAGCAGGTAATAAAATCTCCAACATCCAGTTTTCTCTAAATCTAGATTTCAAATAATAATACCATCAGTATTAAAATCAAAAACAGAAGACATGGCTTTAGAATAAAATTTACCATGTGACATGTGTCAACAAAAATGTCTCAGAGGTCAAGTTTTCTCAATTTTTTGCAAGTTTTTATTTTATAGCCTAACAGAATCCAATTCAATGACTGTATAAAGTGTTTTATTTCTTATTTAATTAGTCCAACTAAAGAAATAAAATTAATAAAATACATTATGTGTATCTTGAATCTAGATGATGAAAATAATTATCATAATAGTTTCCATTTTGTCAAATTTCTAAAATCCATGGTTTTAAAAAGCAACAAACTTTTATTGTTTTATAAAGAAAAAGGGACTAATGACTTGCATATTATCGTGTATACTGTATCTATTTATGTGTGGTAAATAAATATGTGGTTCAGTAAAAGCAACCAAAACATGATTATTCTCTCTCATCAAGTAGTAAATATTTCTGGTTTTGGATAAACCTATCTTTAACCCCCAAGCAGTTACAGATGGCTGATTCTTGTTGAGACAAGTGAAAATCCTTTCTTTTTAGGAAAAAACTGACTTTTCTCCCTTCAGCATTTCCTAATCCAAAGCAAGTCATCGTGTTTATGTTCCCATACTACATATTAAATGAGATAAAAGAGGATTTATCTTCTTTTTATGTCACCTTTTTATGAAAACATATTTATAGCTTAGTAAGTGTTGTTAATATATCCTCATTAACCTAGTTGTAGAAGTTTTGATAACAATTTTAAAACTTTCATGAAGCTTTTTAAAAGTCTAATGTATCCATTTACCCTTTATACCTTATCCTTTTCTTTCCTTCTTTTAAAAATTTTTTTCATGTATGTTTTATAATTTGCTAATATTTGACTTCATGGCCATTCAAATACCACTTAACCAAACTTTTTCATATAACTTACAAATATTTTTCAAACTCTTTAACTACATGTGTTTTGGTTTGGAATGCTATAATAAATATAAAATTCTCGAAAATATTTAATCATACAAAGACTTTTGACTTGTGAAATAGTATACTTTTGTACCATCAGAACATGAGCATCACTATTGACCAAATAATGTTTGTTTCAAAAAATGCGTCATATGTATCTACGTGGAGGTGAACATATCAGACAATTTTATTTGGCTTAGAAACTGGATTCCAAGTATCTCGAAGAGAGAAGGTGAAAAAAATGCTGTTAAAATCCAACACTATGTTTCTGCTATGTGTCATTCACTTTCCTAACTACATGCATTGATACCAGTTGCAAGGGCAGGCCTTAGGCAACTAGAGAAGTGGCTGTTTTTTGATGTCGTTGCCCTCCCACATGCCCTCTCAGGCTTCTCCATTGCCTCAAATCTACAGCTAGTCTCTGTCTGGCGCCTTTATTTGCTCCCTTGTGTGGGAACTTACATGTCCTACAGCACACATTCAGGGTCTAAGAAGTCAGCTAGTAAATTAGCTTAATTCATTAGATTTTACTAAAGGTCATTTGGAGAAATACTCCCATGAATTATACATACATAAGCAGTATACTTTCATTTTAACTTGGTCTCCTACAGATACTGTCCATATATTTAATACTTACTGACAACTAAAGATTTCAGCAACCTTAAAGAAAATCTAATTCTGGGTCTGGCAGTGGGAGCTTAGCTTTGTTGTTCTGTACATTTCCTCTCAGTCTTTCCTCCCCAAAACTGCCCACAAAGGCTGAAAATTCTAAAGCGGGTTTATTTGCATTTGTACAAGCTATCATTTATGTATCTAAACATAATGAAAGTCAACAAAATGAGCTGCAACTTGGTTATTTCCTGAAGCTAAAGACCATCTAACTTATCTCTGTAACCTCACTACCTAGCATAACACATGCGGCACAATGGATGCTTGATATAGTTTTGTTGAATGAATGAATAAGTAAATGTACGAATGAGTAAATGAATAAATGAAGAGACATTATAATCCATAGATATAGAAAGTATGTCTGTGGTCTCTAATATATCCAATAGCTTACATTACTAGGAACTTATTTACCTACAGCTGAATATAATTTAAACCATATTTAAAAAAAGGCCTTGGTCACACATATTTTTTGGATGGGGAAATGGCCCCTCAAATTTCATACACGGTTTGAAGAGGTCATCAGAAAACACTGATGTGTTCAATCACCCTCGATCATATCTAATAAATATTTTGCCAATTATCTACCCTCATTGCAGTGTTTAAACACTGAGAAAAAAATAATTTTTGTATAAATGCATATGCATTAAATCTTTATACATATATATATATACATTCAAGGTGCATATTCAATAATGCATATATTCTAATTACTCTGTTAGTAATTAGAGAAATGAAATGGAATAGTAATATCTCTCAGACATTTAAAAAACTATATAACAATAAGAAACTCAAGCTTAATTCCTTCCTCTCTTTCTACAGATAAGGAAACAAGAATTTAAATGGGTAAAGTGATTTCCTCAGAGCTATACAGGTAAATAACAGAGATCAATATGTTCCCTATTATCCTGAATCCCAAATCAGTGCCCTCCTAATTAAAAGATGATACTTAGCTCTATAGCAGTGTTCTAAAATTATTATGTAAAATAATTTTATTTATTTAAGAGAGGGCATTTTGGGAGTGAAATCCACAAGATCTCAACATACTACACTAATGATAGAGCTTAAGTGTGTCAATCTTGAGTAAGTTGCATTAAAATTGTACCATTCCAGATATTCAATAATTCATTCATTTTAGTAAACATTTATTGACCCTACTTTGAATTAGGCATTCAATATGGAAATTAATATGAAACTATCTTTTGCTTTAAATAACTCACAACTTAGTGAGATGGACATGTGTATCAACAGATAAATCACAGAACAATGTCGTAAGAAATGAATCTGAGTTACAAGCAGAATAGGGGGAACAAAAGGTAAAATCTTATAAGATATCTTTATAATTCAGAGACGCTCTGCTCTTACAGAACTTAGCTGTATTTGGCCAAATTAACAGTGAAGAGTACAGTTCTCCACATTGTTAAATCTGACCAAGACTTCTGACTCCAACTGCAAAGAGTGAGGGACCAATACAAAGTTAGAGAAAAGAGTCTACCAAA